GCGTTTGGGCTCTGTTGAGGTGGGGGAGAGCCCCATTTCTATAGCTCGCCATACAGCTCTGATAACAGGACCTGCATCCCAAGTCAGTTTAGCTCATTCAAAATAAATCACTTCCCTATATCCCACACACATGCATCTGGGGCTGAAGCACTCTGCAAACACCAAGACATTTCAAAGGTTCTTATGTTACAGTGGTGAGTGGATGAGCTGTACAATACAGAAACACCTGCTCACACAGGGCTGGAAATGTTAAAGGGGTGTTTTCATTCCTGACTCAGTGGGTGGGATTCATGGGGAGGGGTAGAGAGTCGAAAGTGAAGTTGGCGGGGCTAACGTGAGTTGCTCATGTGGATAACAAACTGGTGGAAGCTTCACTTCAGAGGTGCCAGGAGGGAACAATGTGGTCGTTTTCTTCTCCAGAAAGATAAGGAGACAACTATGGTCTGAGGAGCCTCACGCAATCACTCGAGGAGCAGAAAGACAGAAAGCCTGGCTGGAATTGTGACCGCCATCTCCACAAAAGCTGGTTAGAAACACATCTGATGTGTAGTTCTTTTTTGCTTACCTTCCTCTGCATTGCTCCTGCCCTAAATAAGCAGAGTGGCAGTGTGTTAAACAGGTGTATGCAATGGGTTTGTTTACTCAGGTGCTGTTTCTAGAGACGGACAGACCTTGGTGGTCAGGGAGTCCCTGTTGGGGTAAAGATGAGGCTGGGGGGCAGAGGGGTGCAGGTGGAAGGGCATGGCTCCAGCCTGAGCAGAAACAATGGTGAGGTGCCCTTTGGGAGGTTGTGCGAGGCAAGCTCAGCTTTTAAACCCAAATATCTGGTTCAGGTCTTGCTCGGAGACACAAACGAAATGAGAGAAAGACCCCAGTCCAAAACCAGAGGCAGGAGGGAAGTCACTGCAGTCCCCGTTTGGGCATCTAAAGGTGCTGAGGAAAAGGAGTGGCCGGGCGGGGGTGCTGGCACCCTGGGCTTGAAGCCATGGATGGGTGAAAAAAGAATGCAAGGTGAATTGCTTTTTGTTTCTTCCATAGAAAGGCCTTGCTGCAATGTAGGAGAAAGAGGGAAGTGTTTTCAGCTGTGAGTGCTCTCTCCTTTGACACACATGAGATGGTTAACCCTGGAAGAAATGCCAAGGATCTTTGCTCCCCCTTGTTTCACATAGCAGTGTACTTGTGAAAGAGACATTTCAGCAGGGAGGGTTTAATCACGCCAACTCGATCAGGCGACCATCTAATTTTTTTAAGAGTTTAGCTACCTAAATGAAACTGTCTGAAGATATGGTTTTATCACCATTATAACTGAAGAAATAATTCACAATAAATAATTTATGAGCTGCCTTTTGCCTTTGCCTCTTCATGAAGTGATTAGATGGTGCTCAAAGCATTCATTAGTCAAGAATTTTAAGTCTGTTTCCTGGGCTCGGTCCTCTCAAGAGCGTCACAATTTGGCTGTATTTCAGCAATCCACTGACTGTCTCCTCAGCTTTCTGCCCATGAGCAAGGCTGTTCAGCTGCCAGAGGTCAAAAACAGGTGAGATCTGCCAATAGATCAAGGGAAGGTGAGAAAATGTGCTCAGGACAACCAGGCTGGGACACCTTGGGCTCTGGCCAACTCGGTCTTATGGGTCATGCTGGGAAATGTAACCCAGTAGGACACAGGTGCCTGAAAGTAAAAAAAAATAATCAAGCACCAAAATCCTGCAATGAGGTGCATCACTTATACGGACTCTGAATGAGACTGGAATTTTTGCCATTCCCCCCAGCAAGAGCTTTCTCAACAAGCACATGGTGTGCGCCGACTTGCAGGAATGTTTGCCAAGTAATAAGCAGCATGAAGGCAGCCAAACTGCCATTCACGAACAAGCAGACAGTCTGGAGCAGACTTCACTCATCTTCTTTGTGGCCAGAGGGAAAAATTGCCACAGGCAGCATTTTATTAGAAACATAATACCAAAAGAAAAAGAAAAAGAAAAAGAAAAAGAAAAAGAAAAAGAAAAAGAGCAAGCAGGAGAGAGAGAAAGAGCTAAGGATCAGGAAATAAATTAATCAATGTTCCTCTGGAAGGAAAGGAAGCCCTTGGGCCCCAACACAGCTGGCTTGACAAGAGGACAATATTGCAGGTGCTCTACATGTGGCCCAGTTTGTTTCCAGGAGCATGCAGAATAACAATGTCTTAATGCCTTTCTATTTCTTTTTTTTTCTCTCCTCAGGACCTGGGTCATAATTTTTTTCTCTTTTATCATTCATGTATATTCCAGTAGAATAAGGAGGTGAATGCCCCATTGTGCTGGAAATTACATGAACTGGTAACACAGAGGCAGGCTGCACCGGAAAACTTTGCTATCCAATATAGACCACTGCACAGTTCAGTAATAAATCCAAGGACTGCCTTCTGCATTGCACAGCTGAGCCTCCTTGCTGTGAACCCTGGTGATAAAATGCTGACTGGCGTGCTAATTAAGAGCTGCTTACAGCAGGATGTTGAATGCAATATTTAGGATAAGAAAGGTAGGCAAAAGCCTTAATTGAAAAAAAAAATTGTTAAAAGTATATAGTGTACTTAATTTCAAGGATATTGTGTACTTCAAGTCTGAAAGTTCTGTGGAGTTTGCCTGCTGCATTTTTGAAATTCATTTTATACTTGGTTTTGCAACACTTGCTGTGTTATGCCAAAAGGACTCAGACTTTGAGCCAGTGCAAACAGGACGTCAGGGCTTGAATCTCTGCCAATACATGGCCAGTGGTGGGCACATGCTGGGGCCAACCACAATGATGCTGGGCTTGCTTAGACCTCAGCAGGGCGCTGTTGGAAACACAGAGGTGTGGGTAGTGAGGCTTTGCATGCCTGTAGGGAAACTGAGAGCTGTTTCATACCTGGCAGAGGGTAGCTAACTTGAAGAAAGAGCTGGTCACCTGCAGCTGTCTGCGTGAAGGGCACCTAGTCAGGGTCTTCTTCACAAAGTCCCCATTTTGACAATTATAGATTAAATGTGGCCACTGTGCTTTGCATCACACCTGACATTGGCTATGTGTTGCTCTGTTCAGAGCACCAGGTGCCCAGGAAGACTGTGAAATCGTTAGCATTGAACATGCTCAAAATTTCACAAGGTCTTGAGCAACCTGACTCAAGCTTCATATTTTGATTATGACCCTGGACCACAGGACCGGCAAGGACAGTAACTGAACTGGATATCCCTGTCAGCCTCAGTTATTCTGTGATTTTGCTTGACTCGTGAACAGACTTGTGGGTGCCTGTTTGAGGCAGCCTCACTTGAAGGTTCAAAAGAAAATATTCAGTGCAGCCAAGCATGAATGCTAGTGGAGGTTTTGGCACCAAAATACAATCTGTGAAAAAAATGGTGTTGTCCAGAGTATCCCAGATGCCCACTGGTGGACTGCACTCTATGTAAAGGCTTAGATTCAACCTAAGTCACACTCAAGGCAATTTGAAGAGGGCAGAGGGAGGTATCTTGCTCTTTGTTTATGTGGTGCTTATGTTCAGCACGTCTTCCATGGGAGGGGTAACAGCTTAAAAGGGTAAAAGCTCTGAGTGGAGAGCAGAAGCTGTAAGGCACGAACACATTAATCATACACTCCTCAGTGACACAGATATAGTGGGCTGTCTTCTGGCTCATTTTAACATTAACATCAAAATGACTGAGGTCTAACTACTGCCGTATTACAAAACCACAGAATTCATTAGGTTGTAAAAGACCTTTAAGATCATGGAGTCCAACTGTTAACCCAAAACTGCCAAGTCCACCGGTAAACCATGTCCCTAAGTGCCACATCCACACTGAGAACTGAGCCATCTGCAAGTAGGAGAGCATCAGCTGTAAACACTTTTCTCCCTCCCCTCCTTTGAGACTAGTGAAGGGATAGCAGTGCAGGGGCTAAGGGGGCAGCAAGATTGGGTATCTGCTACTGCTGTTCTGCTGAAGGGCAGTATGGTCACTTGGAGAAGGAGTCATTAGCAAAGCAGGATATATGCACATTGGACACACTTAAGCATGACATTCAGGCCCCTGGTAGGAAGGAATAGACTTCAATCATTTTAGGATAGGGTTCATTTTAGGAAGAACCCTCTCCCTATTCTGGATGCTTCAGAGATGAGAGACAAGCTTGAGTTGGTGTTATTTTATTTGCTCCAATAAACATTTGATTTATACAAAACAAAACAAGACAGAAAAACCCCTCAAACAGTTTACAAATCAAGTTAAGTGTTTGAAACTTTTGATATACAAGAGTATATATTGCTCACATTCCTATTTCATACATGACGTACAGGTGAAATATTCCTTAAAAGAATAAAAATTTCCCTTTACATGTAGTGTTAAAAAACCCCATAAAAATGTCAGTATTGTCAGGAATTACCACATGCCATTCCTTGACTTTCAGTATGGATGGAGGAAGAGAAACGGGCCCTGACATTCTACCTGCCTGGATATGCCCCCACCTGCAGCCCCCACCTTTGCCTGTGGCCCTGTGAGTTCACAAGAACATTTCCTCCCTATAAAATTTGATATAGTATCCTCTGATTTCCACTGTAGATGTGGATATTTTGCCCTGCACTGTTTAAATATTTCTGAGTAGTTTTGTTAAAATGAAAAAAAAAAGCAGTTACAAAACCATTTCAAATAAAAGAAAATATTTTCCACCATAAATCTTAACTCCTATTTGAATAAGCATGATTCCTATTGAGTTGCATGGCAACATCTTCTAGTGACATATTGATGTTTATCTGTCAAATGTGTTTAAAAAATCACACCAGATACATCTGTCCAGGACTGGTTTGTGCTGGCTGAATTTCTAACTTCCAAGGCCTGCTGACATCCCATGGGGAAAAGTGGATAAATCACTGCAAAACACCTAAAGACAAAATTTTTAGCGCTTATTAAAAACATTGCTGTCATTTATATAAGCCCAGTGTGACGTCAACTGTCTTAAACATTTTGGGGAACTGAAAGAATGTAAGCAATGTCCAAGGGATCCTGTTGAAAAAAGTCTTTCTTGGTTTTTGGTTGTGGCTTGTTTTTTTTTTTTCTTCTGTGAATTGCTGACTTGCTGAGACAGCCCTAAATGCTGTGGGCAGGATATGCCATTAACCTATTGCTACGGAGCTTTTCCTCACCTCCAAGGTCTTTTTGCAAGAATAAAGGCACCAGCTGTTGTCTCTTACTTTCGAAAGTATGGAACAGAGTCAGACTGTGGTGTGTCAAGCAATTAGACATGCTGTACAGGGAAAAAAAAAGTTTGATCTTACAGCAGCACAATCAAGGTAAAAGGAAGGGGAAAAAAATAGTACTGCCCACACTCAGACTGCACAGAAAATATAAAACATCTGCTTGGATTGTTGCTGGCTCTTGTGTTCTGTATGGTTTGGGCGTGGGGATAGGAGGAGGGGAAAACTCATCCTGCTCATATTTTGCAACCTGCTTGCAAACAGCATGAATTCAAAGCAAAAAAAAAAAAATACAACATTAACGACCTCTGTATCAAAACACACATGTGGGAAGGACCAAACCTCCTCACATTCCTGTTCTGGGACACTGTGAGGACATTGGGGTTAAGGTGAGAGGAAAAAGGCATCCCAGAACTTTCCGCAAGGTGCTGCAGACAGGACCATGTAGGTACAACTGCAAAGTCAAATTGGCCTGTCTGCTGCTAGACTGCTCCTGCAACTGCGAACTGCAGGGCCACAGCCAGGTGGTCACAGCACATGCTTTGAAAGTCATCTTCTTATTGCATATTATTCCTATCTTTTTGGCAGAGCGCTTAGTGCACAATTGCTGGTGTGGTGCTATACCAGTCTCCTCAGGTTCCTTCCCTAAGGGGAGGGATTTCTAATGCACTGGTCATTTCCTGGAAGCACTTTTTTCTTTCAGAGCATGGATGTTTACAGATATATAGATAGATATATATATACATACACACACATTTTTTAGATATATATGTATATATATATATAAAAATAGCAATTTCATAGTTATATACAGGCATTAATAAAGTGCATAATGTTATTGGCTATTTTCAAATCTCATTTCCTGAGGAAGTGCTAACATACATAGCTCCTCCTACGACATGATGCCGGCTGCCAATGCTAGGGTAGGACAGCTACTCCCCAGCTTTTAATTCACAGAATACATCTCCCAGTCCAGAGTTGCAGCCTAAAGGGAGTAGTGACAGCCTCAGTTCTCCGGGAAGCAAGTCAAGGCACTGATCAAGACTTCTTCCTTTGCCAAGACGAACACGTCTAGGAGTGACTTCCCTCCATTTTTGAGCTCTCAGGTACATACTACTTTGCAGTGGTCACAGAGCCATCTTCAGGGATCTTCTCCTCCGAACAGCTCCTTCCCGAGAGCCTGTCGTGGTGCTTGAGCTCGCTGAAGCGCTCTGCAACACACTGTGCTGTCAGCCGGGCCTCGGGGTCATGGTCCCAGCACTCAATAAGAGTTTCACACACCATCTGGATGCCCTGCAGGGAGCACAGAGAGAACAGCCACGATGGGACCAGTCACCACCAAAACCCGCGTGTGAGAGCTGCTTTAGTGCCCTCAGAAGTTCAGGGGGTTACTCATATGTGTCCTGGAGGTTCTTTATGGTCTCTGCTGTGGCTGTCATGGGGGCATTGTTTTCTTTTTTTTTTTTCCAAAAAGAAACCCTATATTTTCAGCACTTTAGTTGGCACTGTCATTTCTGGGCATGTGTTCTGATACGTTATAACAAGAACAATGATGGTTTGGACTAGTGCTATAGAATCAAGTAGGGGGTTTTCTTAATAAATATGATCAAAATTCTTCAATAACATGACTTCCTGCTTAACCTATGCCTTTGAGTGCCTGAATTCTGTTTGGGTTTTTCATACAAAATTCTGATTGCCAGCACTATCAGACCGTACATCAGCTTTTTATGAATTCCTTGTGGATTATCTAAATCTATGTGCAAATATGGGCCACAGTCCCAGAAACACTTAAACACGTCACTCACGGTTATAACTATTTAACCTTCATTTCAATTCTGATTCACATGTTTACAGGAGCAAAAAACCAGTTGGATCTCTGTAATGCATTTTATAAACATGAGGTATTTGTCAGGAAACTGTGTGTTTTGCTTTATGACACTAAAAGCCCATTAAGTAGGATTTATCTTAAACTTCTCATTTAAAAAACCCCAGAACATTTCACAACACTGCATTAATTGCATAATTTACCTAATTGGTGATGTTGACTGATGTCAATGTTAATAGCACAATGTTATTGTCTGTATACAAATAACATTAGTTTTATGCTGTCATTGAAATTACTAGCAGTAAATTAAATTAAATATTAAACATTAACTTGAAATCAATAGTGCAGCAAATCTCATTAGGGGAAGGGTGGGGGTAATTGTAATATGTAAATTCATTCCAGAATTTTATCACGATGAATAATGAGTTCATTACAAAAACAAGACTGCAGAGGAAGGAAATGAATATGGAAGACCTACTATAGTAAGAGCAACTTCTGTGGAGTTCAAAGCAGATCCTCAGCTGCTGCAAACTGTCACAGCCCTGAGGAAACTGATGCATCACTGCATTTTAGATAGGACAATGTGAAACACTGAAGGGATTCAGGCAAAGGGAATTAAATCCACCTTCATTAAATGTCCTCTGTGTGTGTTATCAGACATCCACTCCCTGCATTCAGCTCTTAGCTGAACTCTGGTGGAGCCAGCTGTACCCACCTTGGTGACACACAAGCACAGGTTGATGTGATGCCTTGTACTGGGGGCAGACTAAGGTCTATGTTTTATACAGGGAAGAAATCTGTGAAGTCTAATGCAGGATACCTAGGTTCAGATCCATGATCTTTTTACTTGTTATATAAACCCGAGGTGGTGAAAATCTCAGTGTATTTTAGCGCTCTACTCCAGTACCTTGAGCTGCAGCCCTCCACACACACAGCCTTGTTGCCATGAGAGCAGCCATGAGCTGCCCTGTGCCTGAGCACCATGGGATCCTGAGCCCAGTGTTTCTCTAGCCACGTGCCCTGGGTATGCTGGCACACCTGAGCCTGCCATTACAGCTGGCTGTGCATGCAGTGAGCTCCTGGACGCTTCTCTCCAAGGCCTAACCAGCAAAGCAGTATTGCCTGGCTGCACTGCTGCGAAGTGCAGTGCCCTGCAATGCCTGCAGGAGTAGCCCTGTCCCTAGTCTAGACAAGTCTCTGAGCCACCTAACACTGTCCCAGGCCTGCTTTAGGTTCCAACGACTTTTAGGGGCCTTCCTCACCTTCCATTAGATGTACATCATCTGACTCTTACCAAACACAGAACAGAAATATTTGCTGACCACTTCTGCCCTTACACTAGCATATTCAATATCTCTCTTTTATATCCAGCAGCATATCAGTACTAAGCTAGATTTCTTTTTGCTTTTGAGAAAACTCTGATTTTCCTCAAGTTTGCTGACCACAGATCTTCCTGTTGTTCTTCTGTTTCCTTAAGCAGCTCTTTAACCCTCTTTACTTTCATTTTTTTCACAGGTGAGACCATGTCTTTTAAATATCCTGAGAAATATTTCACACTGTTCCTAATTTTAAGAATTTTCTAATATTTAACTTTTTTACTCCCAAATGAAAGGCTCAGTTAATTGCTTTGTTAATTGAGCTCTTCTAAAGTACTGTATATGTATTATCAGTTTGGACTTTGTTTTGCCTTTATGGAAAAAAAAACAACTGCAGTTGATCCCTTTTACTAGCTTATTGACAATTTTGATGAAATTTCTGCAAAAAGTTATTTTTTCTGAAGATAAACAATAGTATAATCTCTCCTTCCCAGCTAAGCTAGTAATTTAGAAGATGGTTGTACCTATGCCTTCTAAAAATGTCAAGGGCTTTTAGTACTGGTAGTATCAGATATCCACGTGTTCCTCAAAATACAGTTTACTCCCTCATTAAAAACCCCTCCTCAATAACCTTACTCTTCACAGCTGAGTACATAAGGAACAAGACCCTGGAGTCCAGGAAGGGGTCGCACTCTGCCATAGTCATCAGGTGGCAGGTGTTCATGGTTGGAAAGATAATTGATTTTGGCCACTCACTTGGCCTTTTTTAAGTAGATGTTAGATTTTAAGTTCCCAACTGGAATGAAAAAGGGAGTGTTACATTGCTCCTGATGGAAATACTAGATGATTTTGCTTGCCTGGGCTTTTATAAATGTTTGTAATACTTTTGTTTTGTCTGTAAAGACCACTCAGCATATTTTATTGACAAGTGGAATGACTAAGCATCATTTCCCTGATATGATACGCATTTTATCTCTACTGATAAAACTGCTGAGAGCAAAGGTGAGGAAATGCATGCCTTTGGCTTGTTTCCATTCCATTTCATCTGCTGAGAAATCTACTATTGCCTGGTGCTTGTGAATGGAGAAGGCTGACAAAGTGCTTCATGACACACAAGGGAAATGGACTGCTAATGCATAACCTGAATAAAATCAGACCGGCTTGCTGAAGATTAATTTCCTATTTTCTTAAACCTGTCAACAGTTGGAATAAAACTATGACTGGTCTCCATGATAATGTTATCTCTGCAAATAGGGCACTGTTCAAGTTGTTTTACCCCATTCCAGGCAAAGTATCCTGCTACAGACCCTTCAGCAAAGTTACCAGTGGTGAATGGAGAAGGGGGTCATGATGCTCTTGGTGTTGAATAATCTTGAAACCAATCTGACTCAAAGTCAAACATTCTGATAGTGAGATGAAGGTGTGGTAGACCTGGTAAAATAGCCAATAAAGGAACAAACAAGTGATGCTACTAATAACTTATCTAAAGCTGCTGAGCTGACACAGCTGGCTTGGAAACACCTGACTGACAGTCAATCACTTTATAATAAAAGCCCAGTCCCACTTTTTAATGGCAGAGTCTTCTGACACACCCCTTCTTGGAGTGTGTTTGGAGATACCTTCCCTTGAGTGGTGCCATTCCTCAAGGTTACTTCCACTGTGTGGAAAACATTTGCCTACAGTTGTTGGTATGGGTGGGTGACATCAGTCTCTACTTAATTGTTTTTGATAGATATAATATAATTGCTTTAATGTAATTGCTTCAATATTGCTTCATAATGCCTCATACTATACTAGTACTTCTATTCTGTGTCATAAATAATTCTAAGATCTTTTTGTCTAGTCTTATCATAATAAATAATTTACATTTATATAAATATACCTGGTTTGCCATCCTTGATCCTGCAGAATAAAGTTGTATAATGGTTCAATTACACCTATATAATCCTTTAAACATAAACTGTTGACAAAATCTGGGGCTAAGATTGGATCCAGCCGCACTTACACTCCTCTCTGAGAAGCAGTTTAGAAAGCAAGGGAATCCTTTCTGCTCCCCGTGACTCAATGGGAGGGCTTCTCTAATAAATTTTGTCTGAAGCTCCCATTCTGCCCACAACAGAGGCCCATGTATGAAGTTTTTCTCTTTAACCTTTTAGAGCCTACACAGTGTGCTTTAAGGGTTTAATTATCCTGTGGCTCTCTGGATGATTGTTGGATTTCAGGCTTCCAATGTTTCTCTTTTGATCACTTTTAGATTACACTGGTGGGCAGCAGGGATCCCAGGGCTTTGGGGCAGGCATGGTGCAGAGCACTGTGGTGCCTGAATCACGGCAGCACCTGTGTCACCACGTGACAGAGCTCTACCTCGTGCAAAAGAGAGGTCCGGCCTTTGGGCAGGACACTGAGTTAAGGCTCAGGCTTCAGGCAGCAGCTAAACGTATAGTGCAGCTCCCAGTCACTCACATGTGGTGCTCTTACCTGATGGTTCAGCCAGGAGCTGGGGATCTCAGGTCGCCCTCTGTCTCTTAGGACGTTGTCCTTCATGCTTTCTACACAAGGGTGTTCTCGCACTTTGGAGCCGAATGGGGGCTCGTATTCTTTCACTTCTGACAAGAGAAAAAGAAAACACAAGGGTATTCAGCTGGGCTGTGCTGCTGCCAAGAGTGCAGGGAGCTGGCTGTTCTCTGGAGGAGCAGGAGCTACTGATTAGCTGCTCAGTGCCACTGTTCTGCTTGACCAGCTCCAAACAAAGCGAAGCCAGTTGGCATTTTTAAAAATGTTTCAAATGTGTTTCTCCCACACTCCCCCTCCCTCCTCTTTTGTTTCCTAGCCAACAAAACGATTTTCATTTAAACCCTTTAGCACATAATCATATTAGCAACAGTTCAAGCAGCAGAGTAACCTATAATTGTTTGTGAGCCTTTCAATCTCTGCTGAAGTAAAACACACAGGATTTTTAAGGTGAGTTTTGCTTGAGCCAGGCTTGCAAGAACTGGTCACCCTTAGGTTTCCTGGAGTCCACACACACTTACCAGGTGAAATATAAACTGAAATCTGTCTAGGTCATGATAGATGTAAATGTGCAGATTGCTAGGATGAAATAGTTGCTTGAAAAGGACAAAGATACAGTAAGGAGCAATGCTGGAAGCTGGCATACTACCCTTGTTTATTCCTGAGCCACATTCCTTTGTAAAAAGTAGTAGTCTGCTCTTATTTTAGACCTCTTTCCCAAAATGGGTCAGTTTTGGCTCATGATGCAGGGGCCACATCTTCCTGAAGGCGCTGATGCCATTCTAGTTTTCATTTGCATGTTGCATATTTTCTTTGCTTTTCTTTGGAGAGAGAAAGGAAGAGGAGACATATGGGACCTTTGGAGAAAACTCAAGAAATCTCTGAGAGCGGAAATATTATAGTAGATGCTGACACAGTGTAGAAAATGCTGTGGTTTCTTTGGGAACAGATGGAGACTTTACTCCCAGGCCTAATGACTTGCTGGTATTAGATAAAGATTTATGAAGCTGGCCTGTTCTGCTGCCTCTTATTTCTTTCTAGGAATTAATTGAGGGCAAGAAAAACTGAAGTGTAATCTACAAAGCAGTCTGGAGAATGCATGTGAGTGCCTAGATGATGTGTGAAGAGAGATGAACGACCCAGGAGACACGGTACCCTTGCATAATGTTACAAACAAAGTTCAACTGCAGTGTCCAGTGTTGCTCACTCCTCTCAAGGTGTAAAAAGAAGCTCTGAGAAAGGTGGTAATGATTAAAGTCCCAGAAGAAATGGAAAGAACCTCTAAAGCTTGGCTTTGTTTACTTTGAAGAGAAAGGTAAGGATGGGATCATATAATATACTACTGAAAATAACTAATGATCAAGATAACACAGGTCAGATCCTTCTGTCATGTCCATGATAAAAGCAAGGTTGTACTGAAGATAACTAATGTTGGACTTTTCTCCAAAAGCCTAGAGCCAAGTTACAATGACAAACATTTTGGAAGGGATATTAAACCTTGTGCTTCAAATGTTCAGCGTTTAGAGATTCAGCTGCAAACAACTGTGTGTGCAGTGCAGCAGATCACTCCACAGATGCCTCCTGCAGAGCTCTCCTTCCTTCTCCCTAACTATCAGGTGCTGCCCACTGTCCACACAATGCTCTGGAGAATGGTTGTAGTCCTGAAACACAACTCCTATCTTCTCATACATAAATCACTTTCTTTAAGACTCAAGGGCCAAAGTCTGCTTTGCTTTCTTTCCTGCACAGGAAGGCATACCAGTTTCACCCACATTAATCTCAGTTTGAGATTACTCGGCCAAAGTAAATTTACAAGACTTTAGCCCTAGAAGTGAATTGGGAAGTTGCCATCTTGCTGGTCAGACCTGGGTTACTATGCAGTAGATGCACAATGATTACAGTGCAGATACCTCTACTTTCAGAGCTAACCAAAATATTAAAGTTTGCTAGGAAAATTTAAATAGCATGACCTAGATGGCCATTCCCTACACCATCTCCATCAGTCGTGGTTTAGTTGTGGTAGCGGTCATGGACACCAGCCAAGGCTCTGAGATCTTGCAATGTAAGAAGTCAGAGGAGTCTGTATGTCCAACAGAGGGAAGCTGGTGTTGTGGTGCTGACTGGTGCCCTCTCATTGACTTAAATCTGAAGGTTCAAGAGATGGTTCAAGTGGGAGAAGGGAAAGCCTTTCCTGGGAATTGACAAGTTCATAATACATTTTCCTTGCTTGAGAAATTGTTTATATATTATGAACATTCCTCTTCCAAATATAAAGATTGAATAGGTTTTTCATGTTTGGGCTTTTTGTTTTGTTGTTGCTTTGTTTTTGTTTTTGGTAAATAAAGAGAAATTTAGGCCAGATGCCAATTTACTGTAATGACTTTCTACTAATACAGTTCTGCCTTCCTTCAGTTTGAAAAGCACGCAGCATCTTCTTGCTATTTATTACTTCTTCTTTCCCTTGGAAAGAAAAAAAAGCCCACTAAATCCTCACACAGTAAGTCATCCTTATGTTGTGGAATCTCAGGTGTCAGACACATTTTGCAGTAATAGCTGGAGTTGTTCATGGATCATGTTTACGTGCTACAGATGTAACAGATGTCAGTTTGAGGTAGGTTAAGATGTTTGGGCCTAGCTGCCTATGAGTGGCTGTATAGAGATGCTGATTCTATTTTTCATGCCTTGTATGTTACTTTTGATTGGTTTTAGATCAGATGGGCACTAAAAATGGCAACTGGATGAAGTACCGTAAATACGTCAGGTACCATGAACTACAACACCTTTAGCATTCAATAATGGCAGAGGTCCTTCAACCTTAACTTCCAGCATTTAATCTTTATGGTTGAGAGCTGCCATGCACTACTAACTGCTATATCTCTAGTTTCCTTTGACATTGGGCTGGCCGAAACTCTCAGAAAGGCTGGGACTGGATTTTTAGCCGCAGAGACATTACTGAAAATCTATTTGTTTTGCGTGATAAACGTTTGGAAAGTTTGGCCCTCTCATGTGGTCTTTTTCTACTGCAAGCTTTTTGCAGTGAAATTCTCTTTCTTTGGGTCAGAAGAGCACACCCACAAACATTGTTGATGCTCCCTCATGTGATCTGTCTTACTGATTTCTACGGGACAACTCCTCATGCTGGATGATGAAGAATCAAAGCAGGAGCGAGGTAAAAGGCCAGCAAAAATCAACTGTGAGGCACAGCCCACAGTAGTGAGCTTTTGTTCTGGAACTTCATATCCCTTTGAAATGCCCCTCCCTTTAGAATTAAGAGGGGACAGCTACAGAAGGGATAAATTAATCGATGGTGGAGCTACTGTGACAGCTCATGCACACACACAGGTCGTGTCCTTCAGATAGTGTCTTTCTTCATATTAGAGCAATTTGGGTGTTGGATCTACTAGCTTGCACTAGTTGCACAAAGGAAAAATAATGCCTAAAGTGGAGGCTCAAAACCTGTTTCAAGGCCAAGTTTAAGGAGTTGTTAAATGCTTACTTCACAAATTTCCCTAGGTTTCCCTCTTGAGGTGAAGGATGCATTGGGATGGGTGAAATCATTGTACTGTTTCCCTCCCGCAGACATGTTTTAAGTGACTTCATATCCGATGATCAAAGACACAGGCACCCTTCTAAAGGTTTGGGAGCGCATGAGCTCTGCCACCAGTGTAGGGTTACAGGCTGCTTAGTCACTGTGTGTTGAATCCTGAGATGGGAAAGTAGTGGAACACAGCACATCAGTGCTCAACATGGACTGTAGTAACCTTGTCTACTGCTACATGGGCTTGTTGAAGGATAGCACTTGCTACCTTACACATAGTACTGTGGTGACACTTTGAGAATTTCTAGGACATAGGTGACTGTCATGGGGTGAGGCTGCACTGTGTGGATCTACAGCTGGGGTTATATGCCACTAGAAGCCAGGGCAGTGCAGACATGCCCTAATTGGGCTCCACTTCACAGAAGGAGAAATTTAAATCAGATCCCAGCTGCAGCGACCTCAGGGCCCACTGTGCAGGCACAGCCCTACTGTACTGGCTATCTAATTGCTCCCTGCTGCCAGAAATGTCATCTCTCCACATCAACATGATGAAAGCTAAGCATTTCATGAGGTACAGGGTGTACAAGTGTTTAGATGCCAAAGTGTGGCTCTTGGCTAACTCTCACCGAGTAAGCATAAGATTAATCCTGGTTTTATTCACATGAAACACAGCTCTGGTAAAGCAAGGCTGCCATTTCAAAAAAAGCCCTGCTACTATACTGAAGAGAGCCAGCACTCCAGGTAGTACAATACTGCACAAGCCACATCACCATTTTCTGAAGGGTTTCTCTTCTCCCTCTTCACCAAACCTGTGTATCCAGAAGTTCCCTTTCCTCTCTTTCTCCCTTGCCACCCCCAACAGTCCCTCACCCATAGCAGTTGAGATACAAAACAGATGGTTTTCTTTTCTTTCTAGGAGGCTGTCAGAGAAATTACACTTGTCTCAGTCACCAAAGCTGTGTCACTCTGAAAGCAAGTGCTTGAGATGAAAATTATATTTCTTGCAACGTGCAGCATCTGGTGCACAGCTGTTGTGCTGAATGAAATACCAAGTTAACAGCAGCGTGTAGCAGTCGAAGTTCTCCCCAAAGTAGTATTTCTGAGTTTCTAAATATGCCTCTTAAATTATACTCTGGTGAAAAATCAGTCAAACTCGATCTTTGCCTGTCTCCCTTTCCCTCGTGCCCCATTTCTGCTTCTCCATATTTAGCACAACAAAGTAACAATGAACAGCATGGCCTTTCTCAAAAGCTGATCCCCACCTGCTTATTTACTACAGCAGCTTCACAGTATGGATTGCGCTGCTGGGTATTTTTGTTTAAATGTCTGCTGACTGAAAAGGCCTGGCATTGCTTGGAGACTGTGTTTGACAAAGCTGCTGTAGTGAAAGGACCTGCCTCCGTCACCTCCTACACTCACTGAACACCTGCATGCTGACAAATGAATCCCAAGAGCTCCCTTTGTAAAAGAAATAACTCACTGTACCTTTACCTGGCTGAATGGCAATTAGCCTCCTTTCCTTGCATGCTTCTCTCCCTAACTACTAAAGTTGCTAATGCTGCTGCCTCTGCTTAGACTGCCACTCTTGCCCTCTGAATTGCAGCCAAGCCTGCCCTGCAAAGATGGTGCCTAGATCCTAGGCAAGATCCTAGATCCTTTAAAAAGGCTGTCTACAATCAGGTCAGCCTACTCCAGCATGTATGCAAAGTCATTTCTCTCATAGCCCAATAGTTTAGGAATTAAAGAGGGGTGTGTGTGAGCAGAGGCAGCTCCTTGGGAAGGCTGTGAGGAGAGGAGGGAGTCTCTCAAGTGACAGATGGGAGAGAGAAAGCAAAGGGGGAGCTGCAGTCATGAATCACTGTAAGGGTATTTCACCAGCTGGCTGCAAAGATAGCCAGACTGCACCAACCAGGGGAAAATCTAAGAAGGAAATGAGAGAAATGGTGCAATGCTGTTGCAGCTCAGTAATAGTTACAAGTCAAGGGAGCTACACCCTGGGAGTTGTATATAACTGCTCTAGATGCAGATGCTAAGCCGGAGTTCCACCCCCTATAGATCTGCCCAAGTACTCCTCCTGGGCTTTTGCTGGGGACCTCACCTCTGAAAAGATTACTGAAATAGGGAAACAAAATTCAAGAAATTTGATTCTGGAGATGAGAATTACTGAGGGATGAAATTAATAGGGAAAATCAGGATGTGAGTGGGGGTTAACTATCACCTTGAAAGCAAAGGGAATGCTGGGTTAGAGAAATCTTTACTTTTCCTGAAATAACTTCAGCTCTTCTTCCCAAGGTTAAAGTGGGTCAGTCTCTTCTAGCTAAACATGCTGGTGATTTTCCTTCCTTATGAAACTCCCCTTATATCCTCTTTTAAGCAGTTGCCTTCTGAGAACAGCAGCAGTAAGGTTTGTTTTTGCCACAATCTCCATTTCAGCATACTCAGCAAATATGAACAGGAAGGGACCCAGGCATCATCAAAGATAAAAGATCCACAGTGAACAGCTCATATTTATATTAATAAGGTGAGTTCCTAAATGCAAGAAACAGAGAGAGCTCAAGAGACAGAGCAAAGTTCCTTTTTCTCAGGTTTTAAATCTCCTCAGCCACATTTACAAAGTGCTAATGAAAGGCTGAGGCTGTGCCAATGCTCTTAGAAACAGGCACGATCACGACTGTTAAATATGGATAGGTTTGCCTTGGAATATGTCAGACTGAGGTTCAGTTCCCGAAACACCACATGTTTTTTCACTGAAATGTTTGACTAGAAAAGTTTTTTTTTTCCCATGCTTTTAGGCTAGCACTTTCTGCACACATACTTGCTTTGTAGCTTTCCTGGCAGGGTGCAAACAGGGGCAAATCTGTTGCCCACAATACAGCCCACCCAGCAAGACCAAACGTTGGTCAGGCATAGCGGGAGACTGAGATGGATGCATTCCTTCCTCCTGGCACATGGACATCGTGGTGCAGCCACACAGTCATTGTGCAGAGTGGCTTCAGAGACCTCCCTTGTGGTATCCCACAGATGTTGGTAGAGAAACAAGGAGCAGCTGTGCACTTCCCAATATCCCTTGGGATATTGGTTTCCCTCCTGTACACTATGTTCCTCACAACATACTGCTCTAGCCTGCAAGATTGTCCTGTCTCTGTGTCTATGGCAGCCCTTCAAGGTGGAACCGAGCGGAATCCGATGAAAAGGGAGCCTTTGTGGTTTTGGAAGACGGCTAACAAATCAAATAAGAGTTGCATATCTACTATAATATCCACATTAGTGTTATCTTTCACAGCCCCACTCCTTAGACTGCCTGTGTGAGCCCTGGATTCTGCAGCAATTTTTTTAGAATGAATGTTAGACAATTCCAGCAGGCTGAAGAATTTTATATGTAACTTAGTCTTATTTTAGTTCCTGAAGTAAGATGAAAATCTTCAAACATAGTATATGTAATGCAGATATCTCAACAGCAACTCTTCTGATTTCTAGCACATACAACACTGGGAATTCTGGGGCAGCTTTAGGCAAAGGAGAAAACGAGATTTTGTTTCAATGAACAAACTCTGAATATGAACAAGTATAGCAACTTTTCCTGGAGCTGTTCTGATAGTCAGTTCCATTAATTTTTATTTTGTTACTACACTTAATACAGCAAACATCCCTTGATTTCTCATATGGGTGATCTCTTGTGACATCACAAAGCAGCAGCTGGTGATTCTGGGAAAGCAGAGAAGTTTCTATATCACTATGATGGCTCTTACTGAAATTATCAATTAGTAATTGTGACACTTAACTGGCCCTTACTACATTTGAGAATTAATATTCTATGAAAGTAAATGGGAGGCAGTTATCACTTCTTGATTTAAATATTTCCTGTTGACTTATGTTTCAAATAATTTCGTATAACATCAACTAGACTGAGTCAATCCATGGCTACTCAGGATGTCAGAGGAAAACCAGACTTTAATAATCCTTAAAAGTGATTTACCTAATAGCAGATTTATCTTTACAGCAATTGAGGAGTAATTTTCTTGTGTGCTCAGGTGCTTGGCCTTCAAGCCTGCTCATGCACGTGTACATCTCATGCTACTGAAGGATTGTTTATCTACAGCATCCAGATACACTAGAAAAACTGGTGAGATTTAAAAAGAATCACCCTCTGTCAGACAACCACAAGAGTATGTCCGTCTCAACATAGAGATAAGAAAACAGATGGCACTTACCTCCGACAGCATTACAGCGAGATGTCATTTCCCAGAGGACCAAAGCCATGGAGTACACATCTGTTTGTTTGAAGGACTCCATGTTCTCCAGGTTCATCCTGGACTCCAAAACCTCAGGGGCCATATACCTTGCTGTGCCAACCTACAGAAGAAGAGATCAAGGAGAGCTCATGAGTTGCAATTGCAGTTCATGTTTTGGACTCTGCTGCGATTTAACTTCAGCTTTCAGGAAAATGGTGCCATTTGACATGTATCCAAAAATTCAGGCCATAGTTGGCACAGGCCATATTTTCTGCTGCCAGGGGAATCTGGCATTGTCCTGACTACCAACTTACTTGCACCTCTCTTGGTAAGGAAAAACAGAAAGTAGACCTTTTTAGTTCCTTAATCAAGTAATTTTGACACTGACAAGTTTTCTCACTCTTTGGCTATTCACAGATAAACTCTGCCCTTTGGGCCTGAAGCAATTGCTGCTGACCAAGTGTCTTTCAGATGAGCAATAAACATTTTTTATTGTTTTGCACTGCGTATTACAGTGTTAGCTGTTTCTTTTCATGGTAGGCTTAAAAGGAAAGTACATGCAGGCCTGGGAGAAGAAACATACAGATACTGAATGCAGAAGCTGGTTTCGATTTGAATTGAAACCAGATTGAAGAATTGCCCCTGAAAATGTTATAAACCAAAATATTAGTTCAATATGAGGTAAAAGTCAGTGTAAATGGACAGGCTTTTATGTGACCTATGTATAAAAATATAAATATAAAAATACACATATAAATACATGTATACTTAAATAATTAGGAATGAATTAAGTTAACAAATGGTCTAAATCTATACTATAAAAGTTTTCATTAGAAGAGACAATATTTAGAGATATACTTGAAATATGTAGTCTTGTAAGCATTAATAAACACCCCCCTGGCATCCCTGTCAAGTAGATGAGTCTTATCCACGCTACTCAGTTGAAAAAACACAACGGGGCAACTATTTTCATTTGACATTCTTACATTTGCTTGCATGTAGAGAATGTACCATAATCTTAAAGAGTTATTTTTTTTACTTTAAAAACTATTATCTAATACTACTTATCTACTTAGACCTTTTGAGGATAGAAGACTGACTTCACATATACTGGGGTACACCAGGAGTGGGTCTATTCACAGAAAAGTATAATGCCATCAGGTATGAAAACTGTGCCAAAACCTCACAATGTGAAGCAGATCCTGAGTGTGTGTGTGTACTTGCACTGCAGCAGCACCACGAACAGTTACTAACAAGTTCACATGTGCTCACTGTAAGTGAGAGGATGGTTACATCATATATGTATGCAGCTTTCTAATCATAACAAAACCTACATTGCACTTCTCTCAGTGTTGCTTTAATGTTTAGAGCCTCTTTGTTTATAAACCTATTCACATTGATTTTTAATGATTTTAAATAAAAGCTGCCATAGCAGCTTATGGTTTTTTTCATCTTTTCAGCCCAGGAACTGACATACCAACTGGTACAACACCCTCCCACCCTTTCAAACTTCTAACTTACCTGCCCGCTGTTAGCCAGGTCATCCACAGACAGAGAAGGGTCCAGCCTCAGGGATAACCCAAAATCACAGAGACAGCAGGTTAAATCATTTTTCACCAGGATGTTGGAACTCTTTAGGTCTCTGTGTACAATAGGGGTTTTGGGACGACCACAGGGTGTGTGATCACTATGCAGATGGGCAATCCCTCGGGCCAAGGACCCACCCAGTTTCCAGAGGTCCTCCCAGCTGATAATGTGCCGTGTGAGATATTCCTGCAAGTTTCCTTTAGCATGAAAGGCAGTGATCAACCAATACTGTTTACCAAGATCTGTCTTACGCTCCTCTGCTGTCAAGAACTGGAGAATGTTCTCGTGCTTGAGGTTTACATCTGAAAAAATGTCTTTCTCAGTTTTCCAGGAGGCATATTCTTCATAGGGGAAAATCTTGACTGCCACGGTTTCATATTGTTCTGATGTGTTTTGCTTCAATTTGGCTTTATACACTTCAGCAAACCTTCCTTTACCAACAACAATGTCCAACTCAATGGGCAGCAACTCTGTGTTGTGGTTGATGTTGTTGGCACAGGTAGAGCTGATGTCTGAACGGTCATCATCTAACATAATGGCACAAACATCACTGCAGTCCTTATGTTTCCTGGGCTTAACATTTTTTTCCCATGCCTTGTTGAGTTTCCTCTTCTTATGAGTGCGGTAGGCATAAAAGATAACAATCACAGCAACAGAAATCACCAGTAATGGGACAAGACTTATGATTGTGACTTTGGAAATTTCATCTTTCTCCTGTGGCTTTTGAGGGTCATCTGTAAAGAACATAAGGGAGTCATACATTAAATTATATCATAGGTTTATATATAGAGGAGGCTGACAATAATTATAATTTTTATCCAGAATGCAATATATTATCTTCTCCACTAACAGTAAGTAATAAAAATTGTCACTGCCTTCTTGCTTCAAAATGTTATTTTGTATATAGGCCTCTGCTTACCAGGACTTCCCTATCTGCTTATTTTATAAAAAGCCAGAAACGAATGAGAAAGAACCCAATGTAATTTAGTAACTTTGTTCTTCTCTCAGGCTTTAATGCATTATGGATGAAACCTCCTCTTTTCCGAATACAATAGACAAAGTTTCTTGCGCTTACTCTGTCAATGTGTTCCTGAAAGATCTGCTCATTTAACCAGTCATTATTAGAACACACTAATTTTTCCAAGATAAATAAATAGAAAATGCAACCTGTGAACTCCCACTTTCCCAGTTATCACTCCAGATCTAGTACATTTTAATATATTTTAGTAGTAAAGTTATCTTCAGGAAGCCTGTTCACACAAAACTTGCCAATATTTATGGCAATATTCAGGCACAATATGTATGCCTGCATACTTATCTGAAAAGAAAAAGCTCATTCTCATACTTTGATGTATGTGAAAGACTGTTGCTAGAACAAATTGAAACACCTGCATGTAAACAGGTATGTCCAGAACTGTCACCACCCCCTCATGTACTTTTGCATGGATTTATGTATCTGAACACTTCTTCTGTGTGTCACTTGCTGATTGTACACTGGCTGTCCTGCTGTAAAGCAGTAGATGGTTCACTCCAAACTCCACGCCTGGTGCAGTGTACACACTAATACATTCTGGGGTGTAACATATAGGAAAGAGAACAACAACAGAGATCTCTTCTAGAATAGGGAGATATTCCAGGAAAAGTATGGATCATTATCCTAGAGATGGGAACTGCCCTATCACCTTTAAAAATTACCTTCTACTTCAGTATTTCTTAGGGAAGATAAACAGTTTAAAAGGGAACAGTTTTATTCCAAAAATAGATTAAATGTGGGTCAGAGTCTATCTGAACCTGATTTGATCGAACACATGGAAATGTCTCAGTCTATTTCTTCCTTTTGAGTTGGATAAAATGTACTGTATTGTCTTTGCATGAGGGAGGGGATTGATTGGAAGAAGTCCTGGGAGTCAAACCTGAATGGACTAAAACAACTGAAGCTGCAACTGCAGTAAAGCAAGTGGCTTGTGTTGGCAGCACGGCACTCTGGTGGATGCATACAGCCATGTCACTGACTCAGGTTCTGTGCATCAGGCCAAATAAGTCAACATGAAAATGAAAAGTTCAATAAGCTCTGAAGGGAAGCTGTCACTAACTACATTAGCCACAGGCCTCTATTCCCCTACTCAGTGCCTCTCAAAACAAAAGTAAGCAATGCTAAAAGGGATGGGAGAAAAGAGTTTACAATTAGAACAAGTGGTACCTCTGACCCTCCAATTTCACTTGTAATCACTTTTCTGTTGTAAACCCAATTGGCAAGCAGCAGGAAACATGAGCCATTCAAAGGCAGGCGACAGGACATCTGAAGAGTGTATTCTTTTTTATTTGGAAAAAAGCTGAATCCTGAACCAGGATGTGCTTCCTCTGTTTAAAAGGTTCTCATACCAGATGTAGATCGAATAATTAAATCCTAACCTCTCTCATAGGATTTCAGGGAAGAGGAAGTGACTTTCTAGCACTGGCATTCCCAGTCTAGTACAGGTCAATGGCATGCACTAGCAGCACCTACAAAGAAAGAATATATTTCCTCCATTTAAGCAAAAGATTATTTTAAGTCAATCTCTCCTTTCAGATCTATGCAAACCACAAATCCTTGTTGTCCAGTGATTTCTCTTGGCAACAAGATGTTAGTAAATTTAAAAATTCTTAAATTTAAAATTAAAAAAACCCCAAACCTGAAAGTTCATCACAAGTTACAGGCACCATTTCTGCTTTTCAACTTGCTACAGAGGGGGAAAAAACCCTCAGTTTTTTATGGCCCTTACAGGAGGAATATATTTAGAAAGTCCAGTGTCACTGTCAGTAAACAGAAGATTTGCATTGCTTATTCCCATGTGCATTCTTTGCTTTCAGAAAATCTGCTTTATAAAGAACTTGGAAAACACCTCGTTGGAGTAGAACGGACTGCTTTGTGGGACAGCGGTTTTGGAGTTTTGGCTGCAAGCAGGCCACAACTGCATGACACAACTGATCTGTAACAATGAGAGAAAATTATTTTATTGAACATTCAGGGTTCTATTTTGTTGGGTTTGGTTTGTTTTTGTTTTTTATTGACCACAGAAAAACATTCTTGAAGTTTGGGCTCTGCCCTTGGAACAGAGTAATATGTAATCTATATCATGTGGTATACTCTTTTACAGGGATGAACATGTCTTTTTAGGGCCTTTTAAGCCCTTTTTCTTTGCCACAGGGCTGCAATATGTAGACCAGATATTTGAAATACAAATGTCTTTCTAAATGAGTAACAAAACCCCCAAGATGTAATAGTTCTCTTTCAGATTTCTCCCCATGAGTCCAAGCAGTTGGAGGTAGCTGGAAGCATTTTCAGATTTGAGAAGCAACTCACCCAAAGCCCTCACTCCTTGATTATTATGGCTACCTGCATGAGGATCTCCAGTTGTTCCTATAAGGCCCTAGAGCAGGCTGTGTTATTTTGGCCTACATCTGAGAACTCTCCAGCAGACTTCACAGCCTCTTTAGCTCTTTCTCTTTTTGCACAAGAGAAAGCTCTGCTTGTGGTGCAGGGGGATTTCTGGGTGGAAGGTACAAACTGTTGATGTTGCAAATGTTACTTGAAAAAGAATGAGAAAAAAATTTAATCAAAGCAGAAGCTGAGCAATTTGGCCACTTCCCCTGAGCACTGTATCATGCTGCACCCCTGCTGCAAAGTGACACATCCGCTTTGGCACGGTCCCTTGGAGGAAGCAGGGGGTGAAAAGCATACAGCTACACATCCCCACCTAAAGCAGCAGGGATGAAGGCTCTGCTAATTTTCTGTATTTAAGACACCAGGCAAGTCCCACTCAAGGTTTGGGAAGTGCAAGAATGAGTACCCATCAGGGTGTCGGGACTGACAAGGCTGAAGTCTGAGCTTAGGAAAGGATTGAGCTTCCTGACAGCAGAATTCAAGGAGATAGCAGGAGCAAAGAGCTGGTGACACTGAGGTGTGACCTGAGCAAGACACTTCTGGAACTGCCTTTGATTCAGACTGAGGATATGAGAAGAATCAAATCAGCCATTCCAGCACAAGCTAAGGATGGGATACTTCTCTGTTGAATCTGCGTACAAAATCAGGACAGGATCAAAATTCAGAGCATAGCTGCATGTTTTCATAGTGGCTAGCCAACATTTTCTGGCTTGACTACAGGAATCTAAGAATAAATACGTTCATTTGCTTATAAATAAATACACATGACTCAAACCCCATAATTTAAAAAATGGGTGTGCAACTTCCTCTTTCTGAGTATGGAATGAGCAAAACCCAGCTGCACAGGCAGGCAAGGAAATGGTTAAATGAAGCAGCCTTTCATGTTTTGCAAACATGCTCCTAAATAACTTTCCCCACCCAGAACTATTATTTAGTCAGATCAGTCCTTTCTTAAGCTTCAAAAGAGCCTATTAATATAGCATAACAATAGAGAAGTTGAGCTAAAAGAAAGCTTCCTGTATGCAGTTTAAACTAAGCAGGAGCCATCTGCACAACCCTTAATGCTACCTAAGCCTCAAGGGAAGAGAACTCAAGTGCCAAGGAAAATGAAAACACTGTACAACCCCTATTCAGTCATGAAGCTTCAAAGCACAAGAGCCTGCAAATTCTTTAGGTTGGATTAGATGCCTTTGATTGAGCTTTAGTGTCACTGAACTTTGGAAACAAGAAATAAAACAATGGCAATGAAATGAGGACACACACTTGAATGCGCAGGGCAGCAGAATGCCCTGCCAGTACTGACAGAACTACTTCCTTGCTGTCTGCTGCTCCTGTGAGTTCTAAAGTTGCTTTCTATTTAACAGCTAGCGAAAGCCACACAGCAGGGCAAGAATATATTTCATATTAGCAGAATTCAGGTTATACATATTGATAGTGATGTATTGCAAGCTTGTCCAGTGTCTTAAAAATCCCCAGAAGCACAAAGTCACAAAACTTGGTTCCAGACTCAGGACTGTGATCTAGTTATTTCGCAAGCTCCCAAGACACAAAGCAGCCCTTTGAGCTGACTGGAGGAAAACTCCATTTTGTAGCAATTCTGAGGTTTCAAAGTTTGGTTTGAATTCCGCACTGGAATGAAAACTAACACTTTTTGAATGTTTTTGCTTAAACAGAATTTCTGTTCAAATGTTGCAATTTGGCAAGAGGTGTATGTGAGTGCTGAATCCCCTCCAGTGAGAGAACTGCCATGGACTACGGGAGCTTCAAGTTCAAGACCTGCTCTTTTTGGTTCAGGAGAGAGCTTTGCATCCCTGAGTATTCTGAATTAGAAAAAATGTGAGTTTGAACCTTATGTGTGTACTGATTTCTGAGCAAGGCACAAAACAATAAAATATGGAAAAGCCTGCCCATCCCTTTAGTGCTTCTGGATAAAAGCTAGTTCCACAAAATGCCTCATTTTCAGTGAAATGAAATTTCCTCTGAGCAGCTGTTTGGGGTAACTTAATTTATCTCTATTGAAGAATCCTCAAGTGAAATTGAAATTCTGTAACTGTATCTCCTGTACCTTCCTGATTTTGGTCATTTTAGAATTAAGATGGCTTGTAAATCTTCAGCAAAACATTTTTTGATGGAAAACGTTGATTTTTAAAACAGAAACTCTGCTTCTGACATTCCTATACTTTTCCCTGAAACCCTTATCTTGATGAAGAAAGTGGTCTGAAAGTTGATCTAACTTTTAAAAACTTCTGCTAGTTTTACAGGCGTCGTTTTGGAGGCTTTGTGAATGGGGAGTTTTACAGAGGGTTGGGA